GGCTTGTCGCGGGCCGCCTGGCGGCCGTCGGCGGCGCCGGGACGCTGTCGCGGAGCTGCGGGTATGAGCTGTGCCTGACGGGGGGCTCGGGGAGTAATGAGTTCAAGTTCTTGAAGCCTATCTTCCCCAATATTTTGAGCCAGGACTCTGGTGGAAAATCAGAATTTCCAGAATAATTTAAGTATCGGAAGCTTCCCTGCTAGCTATATCAGTTTTGCCTTCCTTGTTTTTCACCTCCTTTTTTTTTTTTTTTTAGTTTGTAAAAATCTTTAATCCTACTTATTTTTCTTTTTTCTCTATTGTTATCTTTCATAATGTTACTCTTTGTCTTGGTCCAGTTATATAATTAATTTTCCAATAATTGTATCATTAGTAAATACTTTACATCAGGACATTTTATATTCCTGATTAAATTTTTAGTATTCATTCTCGAAGAATAATATTGAAGTTCACCCCTCCTAGTAAATGTGACCCTGATTTTAAAAGTACATTTTGCTCTATATGACACCTCATACATATGCATCATCTTAAAAATCATATTTTATTTGTAAAATAGTGGAAGTCTTTTTTTTTAGTTTTTATGGTTTACACGGTTCTGACTTTTTGATGAAAGTTTTGGGGGGGTGAACTCATTTCATGTTTATCCATATTCAGTTTTTTCCTATTTGGATTTTTGTTTTTCCAATGGGCAGCAACATGGATAATCTCAAGCTATTCATTTCAAATCACACTTGCTATTATTAGACTTTCATTCTAAAATACATATGTCATCTCATGAAAGTCTATCTATATCGTGTATTCTGACTCATGTAAATTAATGTTGAAAAGACTTACGGGTTCTTCCTTATCCTGAGATGAAGAAGAAATTCTACCAAAGCACAGCAGCTTCAGCATGTGCCCCAGAGTTTCAACCTGCCCTTTCCAACAGCCTGCTGGGGGAATTTTGAGAAGCATGACAGAAAACGCCTAGATTGCTTCAGAAAGACTTTTAGTAGAAAAATGGTGCTACCAACTCTGCCAGTGAGGACTCAGAAGGAAGTGAAGGGCATGGTGGAAAAACCTAAACTGCCTTAGAGAATACCTAAATCATTTTAAACACACTATGAATAGAAATATGGATATTAAAGTCTCTACTAGTGAAGATGTAGAAATGAGGAAAGGGAATCTTTTTAAATAGTGGCAGAAAACTTAGCTGAATTGTGCCCTGCAGTTATATGGAAAGAAGAACATGTAAACAATGAGCTTGGAGACTTAGCTGAGGAGATTTTCAGGCAAAGAGCTGAAGATACAGGCTGGGTTTTTCTTGATGCATATAGTAATATGTGAAAGAAAAAATTGTTAAAGGAATTAGATTGAATGAAAAACTGTTAAACAAAAGGGAACCAGGGCCTGATGATTGGGGAAAGTCTCAGCCTATTCAGATTGCCAAAGGTGTTACAATGAGAAGATTCACTTCCAGGAATGCATGTTCTGCATATTCTGAAGAGAAAGCCAAGAGGGTAGCAGGACAATCTTTTACTAGTGCCTTAGTAAAAGATTGGAAGGAAGGATTAGAATAGTCAATCACACAGAAAACTCTTTGAAGAAACTAGGCCCATAACATGGACAACTTCAGTAGTCACCTCAGTAGGAGCCAGAATATAGAGGAAAATATTCAGGATAGAACTATGGAGCCTCTTGTCTAATATGTGAATACCTGTGACATAAGCAGGAGACAAGGCTCTTGAGAATGTTATGTTGGCAGAAACACTGCTAGATTGAACTGAAAGGGAAAGAGAGGACAAATTAAAGAAGATTGTTGTAAACCCCCCCTCAATTCTATAAGCGAGATAGACTGACAAAACTACTTAGCTGAAAACGTGCTACTTTTAATGAAAAAGTAAGTATGGTCCAGAGAGTATATCTCTGAAACCAGAAGATTAGTCCCAAGACTTGAAAGTAGGAGTTTTCCTGTATGTATTGCAACATTTCTTGGTACAGTTGATTTCTTTTTACTGTGTACATTTGCCTTTTTTACAAAGTTGTCTAATTAGGTCCCAAGTTGTCTATTTATGATGTGTGAAACACTTGTCAGAAAAGCAGCATTGCTTTCCCTTAGATGTTATCAAAGGACAGTACTCTGAATTACTGTCATTCAATTTATATCTTTATTCAGTTGCCTCCCAATTTGGCAAACATACACAAATAATTAAATCCCTAAAGAAATATTCCTGGCTAGTAGCATCTCCAAAAGTTGGGTTTTGGAGAATAGAATGAGAAGGTGAACTAATAAGTGCCAGTTGTATTTTTATATCTGCATTAACAATGTCCTGAGCAAAATGACTAAGATGTTTATCCAACAATGTAGAAAATCCTGCCTCCTTCAGAGGCAAGAAAGTAGCAGGACTAAAAATTTTACTGACTAAAATTGAGCAGGTCAGCAGTCCATGTGTTTTGGGGGATTATAGGTGGTGGAAGGATAAGACACCACATATCCTCTGTATCATACATAGTAGCTAGAACAGTTTTGAACATGAGTGACAAGTTATTGTTTCTTAGTGAATGAAATTTTTTGCAAACTACCAGGATAGAGACTCCTTCATCAGAGTCACTCATTTCCCCTCCCATTTTCTCTTCCATACTTCACAGACTTCCTTTGAGATTTCTATAAGTACTAACTTGCTTTTTATGATATTATTCTAAGGCCATTGACCTTTTTCTTTTATTTCCCTTCTTTGCTTTTATTTTTCTAAATGGAGTTTGGAATACATAGATATTAGTGTTCACAAGACAGCATTCATAAGTTGGAATGTAGCTTATTCCAATAATTGGAAAGTGAAGGGGAATTTGAATACCTTTCACAAATGCATTTAAATGGGAAAAATAGTTTCCTGAGATTCCCACTGATTATATTTTGGTATAATGAAAATAATCTGCAGTATCTCTTTGCTATCCTCCCAACCACTGTTGAGAATATCATCACGATACTTCTATTTCTAATTCTACTACAATAAACATGGAAATTATTCTAGACAATTTAGCTAATACTACTATTTAAATGTATTTAAAATGATCCCACTTTGGTTGATGGCTGAATTTTGAGAAAAAAAATTTCTTAAAAGTTGAAAGTTTGGCCATGCTAGCAGAGGTCTCTCTGGATATTATATAGTTATGAAGTGCTATAAATTATCTCTGAAATAATATACTAATGGGTTTTATAATCCTGAATGAGTACTCTGTAAGAATGTATTTTCCTCACAACATAGCAAAGGATACATACAGATAAAGAATACTTTTATTATTCCTGTAAAATGGATTCTTTTTCTGTAAAAACCAAAAGAATATGGGCACTAATATAGCAAACTCTTTTCATGTGTATGCATTTTAAATCTATTTAGATGGAGGCCTGAATCTTTTTTCCCAAAAAAAGCAAAATAATAGTCAATGAGAATTCACTTTGGTGATTGTTAATGGAAATTTAACTTAAATAGAGGTCTCATTGGAATACTCCATGTACAGAAATTGAATCTGAGCAAAACCCTACAGCCTTTATGCTGGCAAATATAACAAAAAATCATCAAAATATTATCTCTTTTTTGATCAGTAGCCTGGAAATTACTACAGAAGTTTTACCATAGGCTATGGAATCCTTTTGTGTCACATGCTCTCAAATGTGAATAGGCAGATCAAGAACCAAGAATATTCAAATGATTGAAAATACTCAAATAGGCAGTTCTGGAAATAGCCCAAAATTGTTTGGATATTATAATTGACATGAAATTAAAAAACCTATGGAATCCTTTGACCAATTTCTGTCTCTTTATGACAGAAATTTTTATCTGACAATTGTTAAAAGTCTAATCTATCCCAGGGAAGTCAGACATTCATCATTTTGGCAGACCCAAAGAATGAAGGCTAATGATGTTCCTGCGTATATATCTTTAAGGAACCTTGTGTCACTCATCTAACATGTCCTCAACTATTATTCATCAAATTGTCACCGATGCTTTCAATATTCAGAATTGTATTTGAAAATCATATGCTCTTCTACATATCTCTTTTATTCAGCTTTGAACATGACTTTTAGAAATTCATACTTCATGGTAACAGAAAATACTAGCCAGAAAAGACGTCTTACAAACTTAAGACCTCTGTGTTTGTCTAAATTATTTTAGTTATAATCAAAAGAAACCCAATTCAAACTAGCTCAGGGGGGGGGAAACAGAAGATATTGGGAGTATATAATGTAATTTAAAATATGTTTGGAAATCAAAACTAAAGGGTAAGAACTTTAAAAACAATTTTTTAAAAACATTTTTCCTATCCTATCTGCTCTTTGCTTTTTTCTACCTACTGATTTCATTCTCTTTTACTGCAGGTCAATTTCCTCCACATGAGGAAACTGGACTTATATTTCAAGTAACTAAAAGATCTTTCAAAGTTATTGTTATAAATTGACCCCTACCTTTTCTGGTCCCAAGTTTTGAAATCCTGGTAGGCTTACATCAGCTCTAAGTTGGGACCAGGAAGTAAAAGGTTTTCATTTGCTTCCATTTATTTCACATGATTGCAGTGGGGATAGGAGATATATGCCTTCTCAGAAAAGGGAAGGCAAATAAATGTCTGTATGTGTCAATATTCACCCACACCAGTGCTCTGAAATTAAGGGAATCTCAGTCAAACTTATTAAACATAATTCTTGTATTTTATGTGTCCACAAAAATTTAAGAACTCTTACTTCACAATCAGGGAAACAGATAGATGGTAGCTCAATTACTTTGAACATTCAGACATTTATCTGTGTAATGGTTGTGTGTAACAATAGCTATTCAATATTGATGCTAAATATCTGTTAACTGCTGAGCTCACTAAAAAGAACTGATGCTTAGGGAGGCCAGAGTAGACTATTTGGAGTGGTGGCAGTTGATGCTGCTTTCCCATAAAATGGGAAATAAGATCAGTAAGGCCTGTAACTATTTCTCCTTCAAAATTTGTCTTAAAACATTCCTTTTTATCCAACACAGTAGCCATTAGCATGTGTTTTGTTTGTTTGTTTAGTTGGAGTCTCCCTCTGTTGCCCAGAATGGAGTGTAGTGGCACACTCACGGTTACCGCAGCCTCAACTTGCTGGGTTCAGGCGATCCTTCTGCCTCAGCCTTCCAAGTAGCTAGAACTACAGGTGTGTGCCACCATGTCC